GAATCAGCTGCCAACGAGTCTTAGGTGAGCGGCGCGGGAGGGGCGGGCTTCCTCATCTTTGACGGCGCAGCGCGCTAGCAAGCCGACCACCACGCACTCTTGTCTCCCAGCCAGCGCTCGAGAAGACACTCACACTCCGCCGCACTCCGCTGTCCTCGCAGCCCCTCGCTTGTTCACGCGGCGCTCGGAAGACGCTGTACAGTGTACCGTCCTCCCGCCCCCATGTCGGAGTATCCCTCACGCAGGGGCTGCGCCGCTGCTGCGCAAGAACAGTGTCAGCGCCAGCGGCGGACATGGCGTGCGGGTCGAGCGCGCGTCTCCCCTCATCGAGGCTTGCAGCCACGACCCTTCTCCGCACCCCTCGCCGTACCCATCACCCCAACCCTGCCCACAGCCATAGAGCCCTCACCCTGCCCCTGCCCCAACCCCAACCTCTACCCCTACCCATAACCCTCACCCTCACCCTCACCCTCACCTTCCCCCCCCCCCCCCCTCTCAGGCCTGCTCTATCGCGGGCGGCGCAGCCGACGGCGTCTCAATCAGCGGGGCGGTGGAGGCGTCGCCTCTGGTGCCGGAAGCCGGAGCGGCGGAGGCGGCGGGGCCGGCCGGGGCGGAGGCTGTGGCGGCGGAGGCGGCGGAGGCGGCGGAGGCGGAGGCGGCGGCGGAGGCGGCGGCGGCGGCGTGGGCGGGAGAGGCGGCGGCGGAAGAGCTGGGGGCGGGAGAGCGCGCTTCGCCTGCTGCCAAGGGGGTCGGCGAGGCGCTCTCGGAGGAGGGGCGGGCGTCGCTGCTGAAGTAGTAGGAGGGGGTAGCGAGTCCCCCCGTTTGGTTAGCTAGGAGGAAAAGTGGGCGTCGCTGCTGCGGGCGGCGTAGGATGTCGCAAGGGTGCTGCCCCCGCCCCTCCCCCCCCCTCCCCAACACAGTCTCTCTCTCTCCCCCCCCTTTTTTCGCTCTCCCCCCCCCCCCCCCTCTCTCTCTCTCTCTCTCTCTCTCTCTCTCTCTCTCTCGCTCCCTCCCTCCCTCCCTCACACACCCACACACACACACACACACCCACCCACACACACACACACACACACACACACACACACACACACACACACACACACCGCTCACCCACGCGCACTGGGCCTTGCACTTTGAATGCCGTGCCAGCTCCTGTCGTCTAGACGTGGAGTCGCGAGGGACTAGCCCGGCCCCTTGCCCCACCCCCTCGTGTATGTGTGTGTGCGTGTGTGTGTGTGTGTGTGTGTGTGTGTGTGGAGACGGGAGCCTGGCCTTGTCACCTCACCTTTCAGGTGCTGTCCCCGCCGGCGCTCGACGCCCTCCCCGCGGCGGCGGAGGAGGAGGCGGCGATCGAGGCGGCGGCGCTGGTCGCAGGGCCGCGGCTGCGCAACAACCGGATCGAGGACAATGCCGGCGTGGGCGTGTCCGTGGCTGACGGAGCCGCCGCCGTCGTCGAGGGCAACTCGGTGCGGGGCGGCGGCGGCGGCGGCGTGTCCTTCTCGTCCGGCGCGCGGGGGGTGGCGCGCAAGAACGAGCTGCAGCGCAACGGCGGCGCTCAGATTGCAATCTCCGGCCGCGGCACCGCGCCGCTGGTCGTCGGCAACGCGCTGCGCGAGGCGCCGGCGGCGGCGGGCGTGCTGTGCTCCGCGGGCGCGCGCGGCTGCGTGCGCTCGAACGAGATCGTTGGCGCGGGCAAGGCTGGCGTGCGCGTGTGCGAGGGGTCGAGCACGGCGGTGGAGTACAACGGCGTCCGCGGCGGAGGCGAGTGCGGCATCTCCCTCTCGTCTGGCGCGACGAGCCGCGTGGCAGCAAACGACGTCTCCCGCAACCGCAAGGCGGGTGTGCTCGTGTGGGGCGGCGAGACACGGCCCCTCCTCTGCCGCAACACCGTGCACGACGGCGAGCAAGCGGGCATCTACCTGTACGCAGCCGCGCGCGGAGTGCTGCTGCGGAACGAGGTGTACGCTAACGCGGGCGCCGGCGTGCTCATCACCGAGGGCGCGCAGCCGCTCCTGCCGGAGAGCATGGCGTGGCTGTGAACGGCGTCTCTTCACACCTCTAGCTCGTGAACAGGCGCGCACCCGCTCCTGCCGGAGAGCATGGCGTGGCTGTGAACGGCGTCTCTTCACACCTCTAGCTCGTGAACAGGCGCGCACCCGCTCCTGCTGGAGAGCATGGCGTGGCTGTGAACGGCGTCTCTTCACACCTCTAGCTGTGAGCAGGCGCGCACCCGCTCCTGCTGGAGAACATGCTGCGCGACGGCGGCGACGCGGGCGTGCTGGTGCACGAGGAGGGCCGCGGCTGCCTCGTCGGCAACAACGTGCACTCGAATGCCACGTACGGCGTCGCGGCGCTCAACGGTGGCTGCCCGGCCGCATCGCGCAACTGGCTGCACGGGAGGCGGCAGGGCGGACTCCTCGTCGACGACGCTGGGGCCGGGGAGTACTTTCGCAACGAGGTGGAGGGCAACGCAAAGTCGGGCGTCACGCTGCGCGGCGCGTGCCGGCCGACGCTGCGCGCGAACCGGATCCACCACGGCACACGGCACTTTCCGAGACACTTCCGTACCTCCTTCCTCCCCCTCCCCTTCACACTGCGCATCGTGTCTCACCGGCCCAGGCAAACACGTCCTTCCTCCACCCCTCGTACTCGTGCGCCGGCCTCTTCATGGAGCCGCCCCACCCCCCTCTCCGCCGACCGACCATTCCTCGGCGCCTCTCCACAGCATCCGCCTCTCTTGACCAGGTGCAGCCGTCACCTTCCCTACAGCACCAACTGATCTTTACAGCGGGACACGCCTGCTGAACAGGTGCAGCCCCTCGAGTACCTGCCCCACGACGTCCTCTTCGCAGCGAGCGGTTCTGGTCGTCTCCCCCGTCCCCGCCCTCACGCACTCTTTCCACGTAACCGGCCTCCCACCTCGACCGTCGTCGCGTGTGTGGCGCCGGGAGTCCCGCCCTCCCTACAAGTCTGCGACCGTCAACAGGCTCCTGCCTTCT